AACTGTATCTAGCTGGGCTCCTATAAGTGGCAGGCAAGCACTTTGCTACTGAGCTGTACACCCACCCAGAAGGGGACTCTTCAAACCTTGTTTCTAGTTAATTGCCTGGTTAAAAGAGAGAAGAACCATTTTAGACATCCTAAATTACATTAAGAATCCAAAATGACTTGTTTTTTATTTTTAAAATATATATCGTATTTCTCTAAAATCTACAAACGTGTTGTTTTTCTTTGTTAAAAGATGAATGCACAGAAAGCCAAAAAGTTATAAACTTAAAAATAAACTTAACAAGAAATATATAAAACCTATATGACTAAAACTATATTTTTAAAAAGAATTCTCACTCCCACAATATTCAAAAGTAGCCTTGAAGAAATGGATGCTTGCGTGTGTGTGTATGTGTGTGTGTGTGGGGGGGGGGTACTGGAGATTGAACTTGGTTAGGACTTTCCAACATCATCAAAATATCTGTTCTCCCTAGATTAATTTACAAGTTACCTGCAACCACAGCAGCAGTAGAAAGGAGGGGTCCTTTTTACCCTGGTGCCAAACAGATAATAAAGATCACTGGGAAGCAGCAGCAGCAATAGGTAAGAGAACCCTGAGAAGCAAGAGCTGTAAAAAGGAACTAGCTCTTAAGAGGCCCCGCTGCAGCTACCAATCCTCTAATTAAACAGCGAGGAGTAGCAAAGGATCCTGCGGGCCCCTGCGACCATGGAGGAAATCCCCGAACTAGATGCTCAGTATTTTAATATGATCACTATCTCCCAACAGTTAAGAATCCTAAGAATCCTAATGAAATCCAAAGGGGAAAAACTGACAAACTGATGATAAGCTTCGACATTAATGAAAAAATGTTTCAGAAGAGTTTCTTTCCCAGGAATTTTTGAAGGGCAGTAAGAGGAAAACTTGCTCCACCATAAAACACAAAAAACAGATGTATGAAGATCTGTCACACAATGAATGGAATAGACTATAAATTTCAAGGCTCTCTAACAGTCTAGAAGAACATACAAAATATGGAAAAGCAAGAGAGTGTACTGAAGACCTTCTATTATGCTAGGTTACGAAAGAGCATGATTCACCAACCGCCACTAACTGTGCAGGTTATATGGGAAGTTCACACAAAGTGTGGAGGTGGAGTGTGGAGCAGCGGCCAGCACACTGCAATTCCTGGAGCCCACGGTTCACCTGGGTGTCATGGGAGACTCACCAGGGTCAGTAACAATCTGACTCTTCTTGTTTTATTTAAGGTTGTGTTGTATAGTATTTTCATTTAAAGAAAGAATTCTAAGGGCCAGGGATATAGCTCAGCAGCAAGTGCAAAATCGTGAGTTTGATCCCTGGAACCTAAATAAATAAATAAATAAATGAAACAAACAAACAAAAAAAAGCACTCTGGCCTAAATAAACCACTCACACATGGAGGACTACTGTAATAAATAGTATCTTAAGAGTAAATGCAGGGGCTGGGGAGTTAGCTCAGCAGCATAAGCGCCTGCCTGGCAAGCGTGTGGTTGTGAGTTCGATCCCCGGTACCGATTAAAAACAAAGAGCAAATGCACACTTGTTAACAAAGTGCAAGATCTATTATATTAAATAATACACAATCACATTTTCTAAATACAAAGGCTACCTTTGACAGAGACCCACCTAAGTCACAAGCTGTTAAGAATGATATTACTGCCAGGGACATAGCTCAGTGGCACAAGAGCCTCCCTGGCAAGCATGAGGTTGTAAGTTCAGTCCCTGGTACCAAAAAGAGTGATATCACCTACAAAATAAACCTCAAAAGCTGCAGGTCCTTTGTGAGATTGTAGAACTGTAAGCTTACTTTGTACATAGCTTTATGGCTTTATGCTCAGTGCTCCAGAGAACACAGATCAATAGCTCAAGAGTCCACTATTCTGAAAGTCAAGTGGTAAAAACAGTATAAAAGAATACATGAATGATGTTGTCTCAGAATTGAAATAAAGAGACCACAATTCAGGAAAAAGTAACCAAAGGCTTCTTCAGGAAATCAGGGTTGAGACTGTACATACATGTACATAGATGGGACTTTCTCAATTATTAAGGATTACCATACATTTGTCAAATACTCCCTGAATTGTTATGTGAAGGAGAGCTTTACTACAGATAAACAAATTAAAATAAGGAAAATATCCTTAGATGGTAGAAGACAATTTGGCACTTTCAGTAGAATTTAAAACATATGAGCCTAAGGCTTAGCAGTTTTACATCAAGGAACATATTTTCTAGTTATATTTGAAAGTGCACAATGATTCATCACAGAAGGGGATACTCACTGTAGCACTATGTATAAAATTCAAAAACCAAGTGTTTAAATGAAACAATATTCAGTAAAGTTTTAGGTACACTATTGCAAGTCTAATATCGAACATAAGAAACACAAATATCCAAAACTAATTCTATAGGACAAGATGACCCGCATAGATCAGGAGATCAACAAGCAATCTCTAAACCTATACACTGATTCACTACAAACAAATTATTGTTTTAAAAACTGAGAAAACAATTGAATCTAAACAGGGACACTCACCCTTCACCATTACTGACTGATCCTGATGGTACCTGAGCTGAGAATACAGCAGTATGTAACCTAACATGACTCACAAGGATCTCATTTACCCACCAAGGGCGCTAAAATATTCTATGGTCTATAAAACCCCCTTGAAAGTATCTTTTGATTTAACTTTTCAGCTTCCATTTTCCACAACTGAAAAAAGATAGGCAGGGAAATCTATAAGAGAGTGCATACTTTTTAAATAATCAGATGCAACATGGAAGTGGAGGCTTTTACATCTAATACAAATAATTAAAGCCTTTTAGGGTGCTCACTCAGCAGCACATATACTAAAATTGGAATGATACAGAGATTAGCAAGGGTGACCTGCAAATTTGTGAAGCATTCCATATTTTAAAATTATACTATTAATCTCTGTTAGCCCAACAAAAAGAACAGTTTGAAGCCGGGCGTGGTGGTTCATGCCTGTAATCCCACCACTCTGGAGGCTGAGATAGGAGGATCATTGCAAGTTCGAGACCAGCCTGGGCTACAAAGTGAGCTCAAGGCCAGGCTGAACTGCATAGCAAGACCCTGTCTCAAAAAGACCAAAAAAAAAAAGAGAATGGTTTGAGCCTTCATTGATCATTTAAAAATACTTTGAAAACAATACACAACACAGTGAACATTGTTAATTCCCTAATATTCAGCTCTGAAATTCATTTTTACCTGTTTTTTTTTTTTAAGAGCCTTTAAGAAAAAAAGTAAAAAGCTCAACTTTTATGAAACAAAAAAAAAAAAAAAAAAAAAAGTGTTAAATTTTTTTGAAAGTCAAGTAATAGGAGCTGGGGATTTAGCTCACTGGCATAAACACCTGCTTTGCAAGTGTGTGGTCGTGAGTTCGATCCCCAGTACCGATAAAAAAGAAAAAGACACACACACAAAAAAAGAAAGTCAAATAATAAAGTGGGAAGAAGTATTTGGAAGTAGCTATGGACAAAGGACAAATGCCTTTACTAGTCAAAAAAGATCCTTGCCAATAAAAAAAAAGATAAATAACCAAGTAGGAGACACATGAAAATTTTCCAAAAGAGCTAAAGGAAACTCAGACAAATGCAATCACAACCTTTAAAAATTAAAACACAAAAAACAAAAACAATGACACATCAGAATGTGGGGAGAGAGAGATAAAGGGAGGACAGCGAGCGAGAGCACAATCATGTGGTATCTCCTGCAGCTCACCTGCAGAACACTGCCTAATGTGCAGGGGTGCTGGGTTTCTTCCTCAGCATCACAGAAAAGGGAAGGATATGCCATTTCACTTCCAGAGAGTTACAGTGAAAAAAATCTCCACCTCACAAGTATATGTATGCATTATCTGCAAGAATAATTTCTAATATCATAAAAAGTGAACACCTTTCATCAGGAGAGTAGAAAAGGAAATTAATAATGTATCCAAGGAGATAAAAGAACAATCACTATTCAGCTTTGTTTTGTTTGGTACTGAAAATCAAACTCAAGATCTTGTGCTTGCTAGAAAGGCGCTCATGCTGTGAGCAACATTCCTGCCCAAGATCAATCACTAAAGTCATGGTAAAGTCTCTTTCTTTAAGGAAAGAAGGGAACAGTGCAGCTAAGAAGACTGAAAGCAGAAGCTGCAGAACATAACATGCACTTCACCGCAGCACATGAGCTGCCTTCCAGGGCCTATAAACCAGAGTGTGAAGAAAGAAACATTCTGCATTCTGAACAGTCACAATAAGGAAAGGGTGACCGTTTGTTGTCTGCATAACACACTGCCTTAAATGGTGTTTTGTTTTTAATGGCTGTTTTGTTGGGTTTGCCAGTCCTGACGAATGAACCCAGGGCCTTTGCATTGAGCCACACCTTTCATACAGTTTATTTTTGGAATAAGCTCGCTCTAAGTTGCCCAGACTGGCCTCCATCTTTCACTCCTCCTAACTCATTCTCACCTGTGTGTGTCACTGTGATTGGCAGTGCTAGAATTAAAGAAATAAAGTGTAAGGTGTTAACTGGAAAAAGAAAAGGAAGGCTTACTGGGAAGATGTGGTTTTAAAATGCAAATGTCCCAATCTTTCTGGTATACACACTACCCAGGTCAAAAAAATCCCCACCAGAATGTCAGTGTTCTTGAGACTTCACAGCCAGCTGGGATAGAGGACTTGAAGAGTCCAGAATCTCAGGGCATGAGTGTATCACATTAAAATACAATTTCAACACTAACAAACTTAAAGCTGTACTTTAAAATACAGCTATACGAATAGAAAGTCATAAATGAATAGCCCATTGGATAAAATTTTTCCATGGCTATTTATTATGTTTTTAAAATTATAAAGACTCATAACTTTTAAATTCTCCCCTGAAAGTTACTGCTTCTTCCATATGAGGACAAAAATAATTTTTGGATTTGAAGACACAAGTTTTCATGGGACTTGAAAGCTAAGGAAAAACATACCTTCTAGGAGCATTTCTGGAATGTCTGCTTGGTATCTAGGACCCACTCGGATTTCACCTTTGTCAGCTAATAATGTTTTCACTGAGGGGTCATAAACCAATGAGTAGAAAAAAGTGTCCTGGAAAAAAATGACAGAGAATACCTAGTAAACAATTTCTTCTACTTCCTATAAAAGCAATAAAATCAATGTCACAATGATGAAAACATCAACTTCAGAGTGGTGAGTAAATTCATAAATCTTTAAGAAGAGTATAGTGTTGTCATAAAGTAGTGTTAATGACAAAAGAAACAGCTTTAAATAAAATAAACTATAAAGTTTTATTGTGTGTTTCAGTTTGAAAGAAAATCATTAACTGCTCTAAGAATTTTGAATAGCTAACAAAATCAAACCACTCAAAGATAAAACCCCTAAAATCAAATATTGTATCTGCTAACCAATAAATCCACACCAAACATCAGGGACACCTCTGTGGATACCAGGCACTTTTACTCTTGAAATGTCCCTCACACATTTTATTGAAAATTGTAAAGGCACATTTATAACACATTTACAATATAAGAGATGAACTTATAAGAAGTCTGTCGATATCACTGCACAAATTTAATATTAATTATGACTGTAATCTTCCCCACTTGGAAGGACACATGTCTACAGAGTAAGGCATATAAACACAATTAAGTACACGTCTCATACAGTCCAAAAATCCCAAGCCTCAAGTGCCCTGAAAGGCTTCTGTCGAATTCTGCAGAAGCACTGGAGTATGAACCAGAAAAGTCCTATCTTCTGCTTTCCGTTAGGATTCAAAAATTGTCTACTGCAAACCTCTGCATTATACGCAGAAGGCTTATGTTAACCATCAGCAAGTCACCTAGCTGCAAGAGGAGGTATCTATCAGACAACAAAAATCTCTCTCCTTTTAGGCTTACACACTGTAAAACAAGGAGAAAGGAATAAAAAGTTATTCCATCCAATGTGAATCTCTGCACTGCATTTTAACAATAGGCTACTGTCAAGGGGAAAGATTAAATAACTATTAAAAAGGAAACCAAAAATGTGATGTTTGTGCATAGCTTAAAATGCTACGGAGAAAAAAAGTGCACAAACATACAAGCTATTCTCCTTCACAGAGAGAATGGTCAGTGTGTACTTAGTTTTCATGGTCATTTTGCTTTGCAGGTATCAGCAACAAAGTTAGGAACTCAAGATGTTGCCACTGACTCATCATCATATTTAAAGGCAGAAGCATTTCAGGGCACTTTTAATCTGTAAAATTTATTAACATGATACTATAATTTTAAAGAGGGCCTTGCCATAACCCATACAAAAATGAAATAAAACCATTACTTAGGTTCACATACATGATTAGCTACGTTTAGTTTACCACAGAAGTTACAACAAGTACAGGAAGGGTCTATTGTGGGGCGGTGACAAGGGCCTTCCCAATGACCTACACCTACACCCTCCCCTTTTTTCTGCTTAGGGTCTAGCTAAGCTGCTAAGGTATCCAGGCAAGCCTCAAAACTATGATCCTCCTGCCCTAGATACTTTTAGAGTGCTGAGATTATAGGTGACGTGCAAATTTCAAAAACAGAGTTCAAGTAAGAGATGAAGACCACAAGTTTGTTCTTTGGAGTGCCATCGTCAAATATGCCTATCTCAATAATATGACTAAGAAAATGGGACAAATCTCTCAAGGATGGTCATGTAATAAACAGTATCGCAAAACTAAACAACACCAAATGTTTTCAATTTGAATAAAGTATATGACTCAACTTTTTCTTATTTTCCCTCGTTCAAAGACAGAAATCCATACAAACAGAATGGTTTCTTTACTGAGACAAGGTCTTACTGTGTAGTCCGGGCTAGCCTCAAATTCGCTACGGTCCTACTGCCTCAGCCTCCCAAATGCTGGGATTACAGGAATGTGCCACCACATGTGGCTATAGACTGGTTTCTAAAATACACTGACAGAGGTCAGTTCCTACTCTAAAGCCTGATAAAGAACTAAATGGTTAAAAATCAAGTGTATGGGGTGAACTTCTAAAGATCTTTACTAATTTCCATCAACTAAAATCCTTAGTATACAGAATAAACTGGAAAAGATTCTTCCCTGTACTGGAGCCTGAAGCTGGGCCTCCAGCATGGCAGACCAAGTCCTGCACCACTGAGCTACATCTCTAGTCCTCCATTTTCATTTTATATGCTCCTCTTTTAGGCAGCTATACCAGCAAAATACACTGAAATATACTATTTTGCCATTTTAATTTCTGCTTCTGTAAACTAGTACTGATTTCTGAATATTGTCACTATCAATCACTGTTGTGCATAGTGATGGTAAAAACCTATCTTCTACAGTTCCAAGCTTAAGGTATAAAAACTATTGTTTAAGTGCCTTGTAATTTTTTAAAATATTGTTTTAGACGTTCTAACAAATAGCAGCTTCATGAATATGTATAAAAGCTTTCTTCTATGTTATCTTTATTTGTGATAAGGGAACAACACTTCTGAGAAAAGTAATTTTTTAGACTATATATATTTAATTGTTTAAAAAGGAAAAACACAGTAAAATAAAGAATTGGGAAAGCAGCTCAGCAGTAGAACACTTGCCTGATTCTGTCCCTAGTACTGCTCCCCTGATAAAGGACACAAAACAATAGATTAAATACTAAAACACAAGTCCCATAATACAAATAATAGTGTTTTAAAGATTGTCTAAAATTACGCTTAAGGTAGAATGTTCTATTTATAAGAATGTCCTCTTTCTGATGAAGTTTATATAACTGAACCTGTTAAATATATTTCTTGTTTGAAATTTGTGAAGGAAATATTTTTAACTAACAAACTTCATTAGGATTTCAGAAACAGAACACACCAACAATGGCAAAATTTAATCTGGAAAAAATCCAGAAGACAAGACCCTTGCCCTCTTGTGGAGAGGATCTCAGTATGTAGTCCAGGCTAGCCTAGAACTCTCAGCAATTCTCCTGCCTCAGCCTTCCCAGTGCTGGAACTCATTTTTTTAAAAATGAAAACTAAACTGGGTCAGTGACCCATATTTGTATCCGAGCCACTTGCGAGGCTGAGGTAAGAGTCATTTGAACCAAAGCAGGCAACTTAGACCCTGTCTCAAGTAAAAATGGTAGAGTGGCCCTGTGGTCAATCCCTAGTACATTGAGAATGGGATAGTGAACAAGTGTCATGATAAAGCATTTGTTTCACGAAGCCAAAAGTATTTACCTAAATCATTTGCTATAGTTTATAAAGCCTTTCACTGGTGACTGAAAAAGTTTCGCTCTTAGCTCACTTAGCCAGGAAAACAAAAAATCACTCTAGTCAATACGCCTTTATTACAACACTTTTAAACAGTGCAGTAGACCATAGTACAAAAGGAAATAGGTATGAACTTCAGCAACAGAAAAAACACAAAACAAGAATGACTGTGAATTACCTCTTTGTCAAGATAGGACAACACGGATTCTGTCTCATTTAAAAGGGCAACACTGCACTTTCCCCTGTTGAAAGAGAAAAAATATAAACAAAAGTGATTGCTTACCTTCACAAGACATATACAAAAAGTTAAGAATATTCAAACTGCAGGATTAAATTCAACTGCAGGATGACAATTAGGAACATACTTACATGTACATTTTTTTTTTTTTTTTAAATCGGTACCAAGGATTGAACTCATGACTGCCTGCTTGAAGGCAGGTGCTTATGCCGCTGAGCTAAATCCTCAGCCATATTTTAGATTATTTACACTTGCTTTCTAACCCTGGTACCTGGTTATCCGTAAAACAAGACCATCTTTTCTCCTCTCTCTCTTTTTTCCCCTCCAGGAATCAAACTCACAACCTCACACTCGCCAGGCAGGCGCTGTGCTGCTGAGCTACATCCCTGGCAACAAAGCCATCTTTGAAGACAACTACAGAGCCCAGCCTGGATAAGGAGTGGAGGTGAACCAGTAAACCCACACAACATACATAGATTTCATAGATAATTCCTAATCAAAGGAGAAGAAAAGGAAGATGTTGAGACCTTCAGATTAAGATTCTGAAACCATAAACAGGTACAAAGAAAGCCATGTAAGAGGTTAGATGCCTGCAACACCAGTTACTTGGGAGGCTGAAGAAGGAGAAATCTCAATTCAAACTCAGCCTGGGCAACTTAGCAAGATCCTGTCTCCAAAAAATATAAAGATGCTTCAGTGATCTCTGTGCTCAATTTCCAATACTGTCCCCCTCCAAGTATTATCAGATGATTTTATCCAGGGAATCCTCAGACAAAGATATAATCATATAAACTGCTCCTAAAATAATGTTCAAATTTTGGCCCAGGTATGGTGTTTTATACCTGCAATCCCAGCACTAGCACATCTGAGGCAGGAGGATCGTTTTGAGTTCCAGGCTAGACTGGACTACATAGTGTATTCAAGCCCAGGCTAAACTACACAGCAAGATCCTGAATTAAAAAAAAATAATAATAATTTCTTAAGCAATCAATGTACATAAGAAGTGAAAAATAATACACATTCATACCATGATGTAAATATCTTTACCAAAACTGCTACAAAAACTAGTCAAACTTTAAACACAATGAACTGCTATACAACAAGGAATAAAATGAAGGTCTACGAATTCACCGACCTTGAGGTATCATTTACCTCTGGTCACAGCTTTGGGTGTGATTCCACCAATGATGATTTATTTTAAAATAGCTTGTTCAGACTTTGGGTAAAACTACAGTTATCCAGATAAGAAGACAATCCATTCTGATTTGATTACTACCTGTTTTTTGTAGCTCTACACTATCTACAAAGTTGTATTTCTATTAATTCTGCTATGTACTGATATATTCAATTATACTTTATCTGATGATATAGCCAATTCAGTTGATGATAACAAGAAATAGCACAGTGACCATGGAAGAACTCCTCATACAGCAGTTTTACATGTCTTTTTAGTTTTATGTGTCTATAGGAATGTTTAGTTCTGTCCCGCTTTGTTCTGTTTCTCCCTCTAATATAGAAAGGATAGAAATACATGTTAAGACTCATGCTTGCATAAAACCTATAAACAGTTTATGAGAACTGATCTTAGGACCCATGATGAAATGAACAAATACTCTGAAGGAAAGAAAGGGGCACTGCAGTACCCAGTGCTGATTCTGGAGTGTTATGATGTGAAATCCAGCAATGAAGGATTTTAATCTAACGAGTTTTGTTAGGTCTCAACATAAACAAAGATATGGATAAATGTGTACAAGTCTAAGTGTATAGGATTGATAGCCATATTACTTAGTTTTTGTTGGGTAGCTGAATAGAACTGTTTGCAGTCTCCCTGGTTGAATTCCCATTTATATGTTCCACTTTTGTATCTTGAACAACTATTTGTGGGGGGACAATATGTATACATCAAGTAGTGATTTATTACTGTTTATTTCTTTTCTTTGAAAGTATGTACTATTTCTGCCCATTTTCTATTTTGTTTTGTCTTTCTTTAAATAATAATAAAAAAAGACAATATAAGAACTTTCAAAATTGTTCTCACTAGCTTGAAAAAACTCACTACAGCTCCAATGTTAGCAGGGATGACAAACTATACAGGTTTTAGATATTGGTCAGGATATACAAAATAACTGAAATGTCCTAATGGCTGGCTGGGGGTGTAGCCCAATAGTAGAGTACTTGCCTACCATGCACAAAGCCCTGCTCACCTAGTACCGAAAATGGAAACACCTAAAATGTTGTATCATTCGATTTTTCTACAGTCACAAAAGTCTCACCAAGACAAGTACATCACATAAGAAACAAGAACTTATGCTTTGATTACCACAGCAAAGTACAATTCAAAACAAAACAAAACAAAAAAAAAAATCACTGAAAGCAACATAAAATACAAAAATTAAAATGCTAACATATATCAAAAAGTTTTTGAAATGTTTGCAACACCATACACCCTTGAGTTTTAAAAAAATAATTCTTGTCACAATCTGGGCACAGAGTCACACTCCTACAATCCCCACACTAGGGAGGCTAAGGCTGGGGAATCACCAGGAGTTGTTCAGGCCAGCCTGGGCAACACACTGAGTTCAAGGCCATTCTGAAACATATCACAATGCCTTACCTACAAAAATTTTAAAAAGCAGAAAAAAAGAAAAACCCTCTCATGAAAAAAAAAATCTCCAGTCAGGCATGGTGGTACACACCTATAATCCCAGCACACCCGAAACTGAGGCAGGAAGAGCTGGAGACCAACAGCTGCATGAACTCAAGGCCAGCCTGCACTGCACAGCAAGACTCTGTTGATCAAATAATAACGATAATGATAATCTCCAAACCTCTTTGAATTAATCTCACTTAGGTTTCTCTCAGAACATATGGTTATTTCTCTGTCAAATTTCTATTTGGTTAAGGGAAGAGTTAAAGAGTTTATTTCTCTAATGTTTTTTATTTAGGTATTAGTGAAGCAGAAAAACTGACATTACTTCATCATGAATAACAACACCGAAAGTCAAAAAATATCTGACGTGCTCATATAAACCACAGAACGCCAACCAAGGACATCACTCTGACACAGGGGCACAAGCAGCCGTCACATGAGTGACCGTGAGCTCGCACAGGCAGCGCGCTACAGGAATGCACCCAGCTTCTGGCAATAGCCCATGTGTGCTCTTTTCCCTCAAGAGCTAACAAAGCAGTCATACTAAATCACTAGATGAAATAAAAGTTTTTGTTTAAAGATCTTTAAAGTTGGATCTGCTGGGTTTCACGGATAAGGGCAGAACCTACAGAAGCTTGTTTCAAAGGTTCCTACTTGCTTCAACAGCCACTTGAATCTGAACAACAGACACTAAAAACTCATACAAACAATACTTAACCTCTCTTCTATATTGTGTTAAATGGTAATATAACTTTAATTAACAAAAACATATTTTTTTCTTTCATTCATTCAAAGCTAGGCATGGTAGCTAGTACACATTTGTACTTCCAGCTCTCTGGGAGGCTCCAGTGCTAAATTCAGCCCTGTCCTGGGCAACTTACCGAGACTGTCTCAAAATAAAGGCCAGGGGTTTAGAGCTCAGCAGTGTAAGTGCCTCTTGGCAAACATGAGGTCGTGAGTTTGATCCCCCGCACAAAAAAAAGTCAAAAATAAAAAATATAGGGCTGTGGAGCAGAGCCTGGTGAGGTGGCACATGCCTGAAATCTCAACCCTTGGGAGATCTGTGAGTTCGAGGCAAGCCTGGGCTACATAGTTTACAGACAGTCTGAACTATGCAGCAAGACTCTGTCTGAAAAAAAAACAAGAAAGAGAAAGAAAGAATAGGGGCTGGGGATTTAGCTCAGCGGCATAAGCATCTGCCTTGCAAGGGTGTGGTCATGAGTTCAATCTCCAGTACCGATAAAAAAGAAAAAGACAAAAAAACAAAAACACCAGAGAAATAAAGAATAAATAAATAAAATAAAGTTTAAAAAAAGAGAGAAAAGAAAAATCAAAGAGGTTGGAGGAGGCTCAGTGTAAAGATCCTGGGTTCAACCGCTAGTACCAAAATAACAAGACAAAAATAAAATAAATAAATAAATAACACAAAAGCTGGTTTTACTATTTCATTCACAGCCCAAGATCAGCAAACCAACAAAAGGATTCTCAGCCAAACTAGAACACAAATTATTTTGGGGACTGCAGGTTTTAAGCAAAGATGAAAGGATAACAAGGATTTTAGTTTTTAAATTTCTTTAATGTAACTATATCATATTTTTCCCAAATTAAAATAAAGATCTAACACTTAAATTTTTTATGTACATATATTAACAGCTAAGAAAGTAAAAGATTTTAGGCAGAATGATCTTACAAAGTAAATATGAATATGTAATGAATACATGTACTACCATGCCAAAAGTTGTTCACTAAATAAGAGATTTAAAGCACTGGCTTCTGTTATGCCTAACAAATTTTGGCTCATAGATTTTTAAAAAATTTTTTAGCTAACCCAACCTATGGTATTATCAAATTCTAAATGATTTATGTTGAGCCTAGGGTGATGAACCTATGCCTGTGTCACAATATTTTAACCCTTAAGAAGTAAAAACACAACACAACACAAACAACATCAAAGACTTTAACCCAAAGCAAGATCATCCTAGGGCCATATAATCATTCATATTGTTTTCCACATGAAACCACAAAGAAGTATGCAACTATCATAGAAAAACACATTCCCCACAGCATTCAAAAGCTTTTAGAAGTCTACTGTTTCAGAGAATATGCAGAGACTTTACATACATAATTATGATACAAACATGGCCTCATGTTCAACGAAAGGCGACAATCAGCATGGAATCTACTATTGCTTAATACTACATTCAAAATAATCCTAGACTCAAAATCAGTGCAGTGCATACAGGACTGGAAATGTAGCTTGAGCACATGCTTAGCACACAGAAGGTTTTGGGTTCAATTCCCAGTATTCAAAAACAAATTTGTAAAACAAAACTAAAAAGGAAATGGGATGAGCC